AAACAACGTGACCCCCCCCCCCCCCCCCCCCCCCCCACCGACAATGCTTTCATCTGCTTTTCGCTCCAAGAGAACGGAGACGATTTTGTTCAGGCATTATCCAGGGTCAGCGTCGATGTAAATCCTGGTACCTGTTCGGAAGTCTCAGAAACAGATCAACCCCTTCTGGAGCCTCTCACCTTGCTGTCTGATCACTGGGGGACCGGAGACTGAGGAAATGCTTCTACCTGCCTGCGGCAGACTGATGGCATCATTCCAGCCTATGTAAAGTTACAGAACGGAAGCTCAAGTGCAGCTGGTCCCTGGTCAAATATCAGTTCCCCAGCAGTTTCCTCAAAAAAGAGTTGCCTGTTTAGACATTTGTCTGGAAATGACCACCCGTAACACCAACTTTAAGAAGGGCTTGTTATCCCTCAACAGCTATTCCATACACAAGTTTGTGGCAAGCATAACTCAAATCTATTGCACTTTTCAGCTTGTATGCATTATATAGCCAAAAGTTTGTGGATACCATCACATTCATATGAGCCTGTTAAACATCTCAGTCCAAAACCATAGAATTAAAATGGATATGTCTCCTAACAGTCTTCTGGAAAGGCTTTCCACAAGATTTTGGATAGTGGCTGTGGGAATTTGTAGCCATGTAGGACAAGAAGGCCAGGCTTGAAATCAGTGTTCAAATTCACCCCAAAAGGTGCACAGTATGGTTGAGGTCAGGGCTCTGTATAGGTCACACAAGTTCCCCTGCACCAAACCGTGTCTTAATGGAGCTTGCTTTGTGCACAAGGGCAGAGTCCAAACAGTGGAGAGAAACTTCTCTAGGATGTTTAGGTGCAGAACATCAGGATGGTAAAAGAATGTCCTTAAGTCTGGAGGCAAAGACCACCTTAGGAAGAAAGGAGGCCTCAGGTCTCACTGCTAAATTATACTTGTGCATAACCAGAAAAGGTTCCTTACAAGTCAAGGCCACCAATTCAGAAACACGCAGCCAGAAGTCATGGAAACAAGGAACGCAACCTTGCAAGTGAGAGAGGGATATATCTGAGAGGTTCCACCAAGAGGACAATGTGATCAACCTCCAGCGCACAGGCGTCTAGTAGGCAGTGAGAGGCAAATGGTCTCTGGGAAAGAATTGCCAAAACATAAAATTTGACCATCCATGGTACTCCCAGCTAAAAACACTATTCTGGGCCAGACTAGAGGAAAGAAAACACACGTACCATAGATTACTTTCTAGGATAGAACTTTGTGGCTTCCCACCAAGCAAAATAAGCCTTCCACATGTAATGGTAAACATTGTGGGTGGTCGATTTCCTAGCTTTCAAAAAAGTGTAGGGATAACAGCACCCCAAAAGGTCTCTATCCTTCAGGACCGGAACTGTAAAAACCAGTGCTCTAAAAAGCAAAGACTGAGAAACAAGGTGGAAAACCGGTCCTTGGGATAGGAGATCTGGTTGATCCAGAAACAAACGCAAAGAGTTTGCCAGGAGTTTACACACTACATCTGTGTACCAATAGAGTGCAATAGAGTGCACTGATCAAGAGAGACTGACTCAGGGTCCGTAGAGG